GTGAGAAACGTGTTTTATTTCAAAGTCTTTGCCTTTGTCCATATGCATAGCTTCACAGTCATACAAAGGTGGAATACGCAAATTTGGAGTGATTATGCCTGGCTTTATATATAACTTTACAAGATAGTTCACAGACAGCTGAATGGACTGACTTCAAAAGATGTCCCTCAGCAGGTGACTTAGTCCTCTTGCATATTCACTGACCACCTTATCCACTTAGTTCCCCTTAACATTAATTCTTTCCTTTTGATAATCGTTTTGCGTTTGTCATCCTCTCCGACCAAATATTTCGTCAGAATGATGTTACAAAGTATCTTTAGCAAGCGTCTAACCCCTGCATTTACTGCTCAGCAATGTGTTTTTCAGGAAGTGGCTTGCTGGTTTTTTGATCGGCCTTGAGGTCTACTAGCTGTTATGTCAATATATATGCAAAACTTGAGCACTGTGATAGTATGTAACTGGTTATTAGTTTGTTTATTAGATATATCACCAAGTGAAGCAGTGTTATTACTTACTGGATGACGTTTCGAACACAGTTTATTATCATATTGCGTGCTACACGTAATGTGGCGACTTGAACTTCCGCACATTTGTGCAAAGTTCTATGTCGAAAACAGACAGACAGATATTAATTATAACCACACAACTTCGAGACTTTCGTTTTATAGATTTGTTATTCTTTCCTATTTGTCGTAGGGGTAGTAGAACTTTGCAGATGTCTGGGACAGGTGTTGAAATGTCGTCCAGTAAATAACACTTCCACTGTGTGATATATCTAATAAACAGTACCATATGGAACTGCTAGCTGTTAATTAATAAGGCTCGGAAATCATACATAGTTACTGCTTTATGCACTTACGCGCCAATATTTAGTTAGCATTTTGATGTACTGTGTAACTGTGATTATTCAGTATACTCTCCAAAGACATTAATGTGCATTTCACTGCAAACAGTGGTAATTTCTTTACTTCATTTCGTTTCTAGGTAGACTTGTGTTTCAATTTTTTGCAGGTTATATGGTGGAGCAAACATGGTGCTGTGGCGAAAACGGTCGCATGTGGCGAGATGTTCAAAAGAAATATTTCCAAATCGGTCCCATCAGATGAACCTAAAATTTATCAATGCAGCCGTTTGTATCTTCAATTCTGCAAATGTTCAGTCCCGGATACAACCATAAAGTGCACATTGGTAAGTTCAGCGATTTCAGGCCTAGCCATGTGGTATCACTATTCTTTTATCAAACTCCCATTAATCTCTAATGGAACAGATTACTGTGAATTATGTATGCCTTTGTTGGAAACAGTCGAAATGCGTTTGTTGCAAAACTTATAACTGTAGCTGCTATACTACAAAATGGCCTCGGAAAAATTTTACTTTGTCATGCTGACTTCTGATTATATTTTAGCTAATGCATCATGTTGTTCTGACTGACTGACTGGCTGATTTCAAATCGCATTGAGTAGTAATTTCTTCCATCTTTTAGAATACCTTCAGCTGTTATCGACCAATATCAGTTTGTATAACTATGTTTGGATGGACGGGCTATACTATTGACTTCACATGACTAACATTAAAAAGAAATATCTATCAGAGGCTTTGGTACTAAATGCAATTGGTAAGGGTGTAGAAGTTATAGGCGAAGATGCTGTAGACTTTGTGGTTACGTTCCTGGTTATATTCATCTAACAGCTTACTTAATGTGGAATCTATTTACTCAAATTCCTGTATATTAGGAGAGTACTTTAGTAATTATTCGTCCTCGTACTTTCCCGCTTATTATAGTTTTTTCACATTTTTCTCTTTTCTGTACCTTTTTGTGTGTTCTATAAGGTGTAACAGTTTGAACTGTTCCATTGTTTCGCAAAGTTTTGCGTTGAAAATCCTGTTCAGCTAAGTTACGTCCACTATCTTAAAAGTTTGACTAATACCATGTCGTCTACTCGAAGGTTTTATCATATGCTTTCACTACACCAGTAATATAAATAACCCTAAACGCATTTTGTACTCCTTTGATACAACCACGTTCTATCTGCGACTTTTAAGAGGTGGATGATTATGGTCTGAATGAAGTAATTAAGTAAATCCAGGTGAACTCCAGCGTATTCCCTCTGTGATTTCTCTAATGATATGTGGTCATATGTATCTGTAGTGCCGATGTATTTAAGGTGGATGCTTCAAATCCTAAAAAATAATCAGTAGATAAAAAACTGTTTATGTTAATTAATTGCATCCCTTGTAACAATGAGTGATGTTCAGCTTAGACAAGGTAAGAAAGTTGAGCCATCGGAAGAAATAATCTTTTGATTAAGGGAAGCTACTCATATTTAATGGTTGATACTACTAAAGCCTCATGTTGACTGAGGTGGATGAGTGGTTCTCAAGGATTCTGATAGTTGAAAGTGAAAATTTATTGAGTCTGTACAAAACAATTCATACTCGTTCATGTCTTAAGAAGCGCTGTTAACTGATCATCTTATTATTTTAGAAAATTAAAAAAATATGCAGCTGAATTTAATATTTTAGACTACTCTTATTGTGGGTGATCGTCTGTGAATCATTGGTTTGCTGGACCAACGCGGTCTCATGTTGATACATTAGTGAAACAGAGGTGCATTAAGTCCCTGTGCTTGCTGTGATTTGGTATTGCACAGTTAAACAGATTATCCTATAGCTCCGTGCCAACTTCCACGCCAACTGTGTAATTTAACTTACGTGATGCCGGCAACTGACACCATAATTATGTTTAAAGAATTATCCAAAATGTATTCTACTTTGTTTTTATCTTTATTTTTATAATGTTTTAGAGTGGTGTAATATGTATTGTGTAAAACCTTACATTTTTAGGTTAATAGGTTTTATGTTACTCGAATCAGTAATTATCTGTTCATATTACATTTCACTTTTGTAAAGTTTTAATCCTCAACAATGATCGCGTGACATAAACTTACAGCTAACGCAGTCGGTTGAGGTATACGCCATCCCTCTATTTCTTAGCAGTTAACTGATAGACTTATTTTATTTGTAATCATATTATGAAGCACCAGTCTTCACTGGTTGATGGTGGGCTTTTTCACGGACGACGCTATGAACCATATTTATTGTGTGTTGTAGGCTAACCTAGTTGCTTAAAGTGGGTTCCGAGCCTGGTGACTGCCGGTCACAAAAAGTCACATGCTAAAGCTTAGTGACCCGCATATCCACGTCATATGAATAAATTAATAATAATAATAATCACAACAAAACTATACAAGTGGTTACATTGTGTAGGTAGTAAATCATTATTGCTGTTTACGGAAATTGTGTATATATGTAGAGGTTGGTTGTGAACAAATATTTCTGACGACAGTTAGACAATAAAATGCGTGAATTCTCGATAGATTGTTAATCAGGTGAAATTCTGCCATCAAAACTAAATGTAATGATAATAATGTCTGCACCTAGTGTGATGGCTAAAATTTTGATTGTATCCGGGTAGATAAAAATCATGGTAAAGGAAGAAGCTGAACAAACGTATTTTATACACGTGAAAGTGAATAAAAGATTCTGATAACTTCACCCTGTGCTCAATGGTCTAAGGTGTGTGAACCTAGAGGATCACGGTGGCACTGCGTACAGAATGGTAGGGCTGGACTTGTTAATGCTATTCTTCGAAACAGCTAGGTGATCCACCATTTGGTCAGGATTTTCGGATCGTTCCACCAATTCTGTAGCCCTCATAAGAGTTCGTGACTTTATAATATCGTAAATCACCTAATGAAACTAGAAATTACAGTTGAGCAATCTTTTCAATGAAGCCACTAACCTGTTGCATTACCTGTTTCATACATATCGAACATTTGTTGTGGAGAACTTGCCGATCCACCGGCGAAATGTAATAACAAAGCACACTACCACAGTACCAAAGTTTTATCCTTATATGAAGCACACTTGAACCTGGGGAGAAATTGACTAAATTGCTTCAGCTGTATTCCATATTGATTAGTAAGTGAGGTTTATAAAAACACGCTGTATACGGCATTTCGAATTCAGAAATGCAGTAGTCCTCTATTATATTTATAATTTTTATTTTATTCCTTTGCGTTCCCAGTGGAACATAGGGCTTCAAGCTACAGTTTTGAAGTCTCGGTGGTTTTATTTTTATGAGGTGAGGTTGCTAGTCTCACGCCCAATCTTTCCTGTTTGCTGAGCTCATTACTAGCTAAGCGAGGTTAGGGGGAGATCGAACCCCGGACCACGTGAGTGGCTGGTAAGCATTTTACCTGTGCGCCACCGACGCACAGAAGTAGTCCGCAGTATTATTTTATACTTATTTTTATTTTGTCTCAGAATGAACTCATTCCCATTGCTTACTTTCGTGTGAGGATGGATATCCTTGACTAACTTTGATTATCTTCAATTCTTTAGGAGGAACCGGCTATTGCAATTTTGTTTTCTAAACACCCAATCCCATGTGAAGATACTCAACTACCTGTTGATTTCGGTGGAAGTAGTTTTGCAAACTTTGTGGACAAAGGAAGAACGTCTGAAGTGAATTTAGCTAATCCACCCAGCCGCTGTCGCTTGTCTCGTACTATACGGAAGAAACGTGATGTTTCTCGTGGACCTGGTACGTCTCAACCGAAACCTACCATCAATAATTCTGCGGAAAATACGGATTTTTCAAATTTCCCCTACCAAACACCTCGCCTTGCCCCAGCACTTTCAAATGTGAACAAAGTATTAAAATCTAAAAAACTTCAAAGAAAACGTAAAAGACAAATGGAATCTCAGTGATTTATTATCCAATGATTGTTTTGTTGCTGAGTATATTTATGGTTGTTATATGAGCTACTTTTGTACATAAAGTTTAAAGAAGATAGAGATACACCTTACACTGTATTCATTATTTGGATATAATGAATAATAATAGAATACACTGGGAAACATACCCTAAGATTATTTTTTTAATAGTGCTGCTTTTTAAAATTTATCCATACAAATTGATAGAGGATTAGTATGAATCACATACCGTATAACCAATCACCTGAAGAAACTGTTTTACATGGATACGGGTTAAAGTTCGTTTTTGAAACTAGACATTCGCTACTTGACTTTTGCCCTCCTGTATCACCCAAATAGACTGAACATTTGTCCTCTGCTCTGCATTTATTTTCCATGCTGACTTGTTTCGTTTCAGATTTCTCTTTTACTGGAGATTCTTTTTCCAAGATGTTGTCATTTTGTAGTAATATTTTCTGATCCATTGAATGTATTGTTTGTGGATAGATGAAGTTTGTTTCTCGATCTTCTTCCATTACTGCTATTCGCTTTCTCAGCAAATTAACCTTTTATATTGGAAGGGAACAGAAGAAAGCTTGAATAATTTATTAGTTTTCCGTAACAAGTGTTCTTTAACCGATATTATCTGCAGTTGTTCTGTCTGTTTTCGACATAGAACTTTGCACCGATGTGCGGCAGTTCAAGTCGCCACACTCCGTGTAGCACACAAAGCAACAGAAGAAAGTAGAAGAAATGAATAATAGAGACAGTAAACAGGGGAGTGAGACAAAGGAATAGTTATAATGAAGAACAATATGGTTTCATTGGAAATTATAAGTAACTAGGAGTGGATGCATCTGCACAAACCATTGAGAACGATTTTGAGCCATATCACCAATTGTTTCCAGTCATTGGTTTTTACCAGCCCGAAGACCCCAGCCAGTCAGGAAGTCTACACCTCCCCACTTGAATGGCTGGATTAAACTAACTGTTGTGGATTTTATCGACTGGTGCCATGTTTTGGTTTGACCACCACTGACTCTTTTCAATCCTGACCCTATGTCAGCTAACATTGCCCATTGTCGAGGAAGGCGATGACTGAGCATACGTAACACATGTCTTAACCATCTCAATCGGTGTAACTTCACAGTCTCGTCAGTTGATTTCCCCTCCTTACCTAGCACTCGACTTCTAACCCCAATATTGCTCACCTTATAGCACCTCACACGGGAGATAGATCGCAGACACCTATGATCAAAGACAACTAATCTTTTCATGTCTTCCACTCTCAATGGCCAGGTCTGACAGCCATAAAGGAAAACGGAGCGGACTGATGAGCAGTACACCCGACCTTTAGTCGACAGCCGGATATCACGTCTACCAAGCCATAGACGGTGTAAACTGGCATATGCGAAACTAGCCCTCTGTATCCGTACTGTGATTTCGTCAGAGATCAACCCATTGGGCCGATGGTACTTCCCAAATAAGTGAAGCGGTCAACGTGCTCTGCCACTTCACTCCCTATTTCTAAACTAGGAGTTATTGTAGTGCAGTCCCGTAACATCATCTGCAGTTGTTACACAATGAATCTTGTTCTTTGATATCATAATTAGTTATCTTAACAGAATACCACTGAATGTATGAATAATTCGCTTGGACTTTAAGTAATATAGACTAATTCATCAAAAGCTACGTTTGCGTCTCAGGTAAATTCCTTCTAAAGGGAGAAAATTTTTCATTAAATGGTTTCCAAATCAAATGCATCTAGCATAGTGCTCGAGGACAGTGTTTTGCTACACTAAGAAGTCGAAAAGGATTAGTCTTCTGAAGATCTTCTAAACCAACGAGAGAATATTTGGTACGCATTTTACATTGCTGTAAAACCTCACTGACAGTCCAGCGGACAAAATCAAGTGATCATATGCTTCATCTTCCTTACTAAGTAATTGGTAATAAGCATCAACAACAGATCTATAAGATTTACCTAACAGTGCTTATCAGTTTATCAAAGACTGAATACACTCCACAGCAGTCCTTTCCTTCCAATTTTATAGTTGAAGCATCAACTTTAGAGACAGGTTGCGTATATCTGGATGCTTGCAAAAGTTAGCCAGACCAAAACATGGCATATTTGCTTTTTTATTTTAGACTGAGTTGTTTAATAATGATTGATTGTAGTCCCTGTATTAGATTACTCAGTTGATGTGACGCTTGCTGATTAAATACTATTTGCAAGATGAATTTGTATTGCTTTTTGCCATCTTACTTTTTCAAATTAATAATCTATTTATTCCATTAGGTGTCTCACATCTATGTTAGTGTCATTTACACGAATGTTCTAGTAATAATGAAAGAATAACTCCTCGTACATGTATTTCTTAATCTACGTCAAGACACAGCACTTCTAAAACACTTTTGCGATTTATGGAAGCATAGCTTTAAGATAAACGTTCCGTGATTTCATTTTAGGAATCTATAAATCGATGCTTTTATTGCCTAAATCTAACGTGATCCAATCACCTATGTATAATACGTCTATCATGGAGTTTGTGAATAAGAGGTTGGAGCCCGAATTGTATCTTCACTATGGCGGGGTCACTTTCTGATTAACACTGCTCATCTTAGTAAATAATGCATAACACATCCCTGGAGTTTAAATAAACAAGATACTTCCAGTGAAATCCTAATTACATCTGGAATTTCGAATAAGTCTACTTGATTTTCAAGTTGTATTATCTGAGCTGGATGGTCTTATTCCTAGGCTATCATCATCCTTCTGGAGAGCATCTTCAGGGCTAGTTTCACATTCTGTAAATCAGTGTAGTCATATTTCTAAACTGATAGTAAAATACAGCTGTCCGCATAAAAAAAATAAAGGAATATAGTGTAATGGGTACGGAAAATTTAATGTCGTTTAATCGGATGCCAATATCATACAAAACAGAAAAATTACTTGTGTTAAGTTCCACGTACTAGCCTCCGAAAAACATTCTTATACATCGGCAATCTTTAACTGAGGCGAAGGCGCATTGGTAATTTATAAGAATTGTCATTTTGAGTAACTCCTAATTATTGCTTGGCCATATTCAATTCTATGGTTCTTGTGTACGAACTCTGCCTAACCTAATTCAGCATGGGCAACTAAGTGATATCATAAGTCTCCCATGCCTAAATGCGATTTGTACAGGATTACAGTGTTATTATTATTATTATTAGGCGTAATTCCATCTACTCTTTCAGTCTCTAGCCGAAATCTCTTAGAGAGTTACTGAAAGTCAAAATCTACTTAACGGTCGTTTCTCTACATTGTACGAGGTAGAATCTTTACTCAAGTTGAACTACTTCGAACTCAATCCCTCTCTGAGCTGTTGTTATAGCTCGCAAATAAGCAGATTCCGATGGGTTGTGACAGTGGGCGAAAGCTGCTTAGATGCAAAGTGACCGAAAGTCTCCACAACGACCATGTACAGTATTATTATTCCCTTAGGTTATGAGTGGAACATAGGGCTTCAACAACATACCTCCATTTTGTCCTATTTTCAGCTCTCCTCTTTAATTTATCCCAAGGTTGCCCGAAATCTCTGATCTCCTCCATGTCGCTCTTGGACACCCAACTCGTCACTTCCCATTGGGGTCCCACTTCACGATCTGGTGCGCGATATCTTTCGACGGCCTACTTAACCTTTGTCCCAATCCATCTGCACTTTCTTTTGCATATTCGTTGACCAGTAGCTTCTTGATTGGTTATTTCTAGGAGTTTCTTACTGCTAATTCCTTCTGACCGACTATCTGATCTTCAGTATGGCGCCAGTGAAGGCGTTATTGATAAAAGTCTACAATAGACTGTTGGATATGCTTTTCGTTACAGGTGCGCCAATTTTTCTATTGAAATCTGCATCTTGTCCTTTATGCACAGTGCAAAGGATTTCCAAAATTATTTCAGGTTGATAAAGGTGTATCTAGCCTTTCTGATTCTGTCTGGCTTTCACATCTTCATCCGTTCACCCGGCCGGTAACTGGAACGATGCTTCCTAGATAAGTGAAGGAAGTAACCTCTGTCAAATTTCTCCCGTTAATCGTGACTAGTGCTGGTTATTGTTGTTGTTGCGGTTCGATGGTTATCTTCATCACCTCCATCTTCTCTATGTTCACATACAGTCCTGTCTCCATTGCTAGTCCTTTTAGACAGTTTGTTCCTTTTCGCCTGCAAGTCTTTGAGTTTCTGTGAAAGTAGACATATATCGTCTGAGAAATAGAGACCTTCTAGAGTCCGCGTATCGGTCCAGCGTATTCCTGTCTTCTCACTCACAACGCATAATCCAGTCCATCACAACCAAGAATAGCATCGTGGGTGATAATAGGCTGCCTTGTCTTACTCCTGTCTGTATGCACTTCAAACGGCTCACTGGGTCTTCCTTTGTGGATCACCTGACAAGCGCCACTGTCATATTGTCAGCTGTTGAATGAGGTCGATGAAGATTTGGACACTCCACATCATAGAGTTGAAGTAGTTTCCGAATTACTTCTCGGTCTACGCTGTCTGTCGGAGGCCTTTATGAAGTCGATGAAAATAAGGTACAGGTTTGACTACTGTTCAATGCTTTGTTCCGTGATGACGATGCGTAGAGTTGCGATTTGATCAGCACATGATTTGCATCTCCTGAATCCAGCCAGCTCGTTCCCATGAAGTGCTGTATCCAGTGCATTCTTTATTCTTTCCAGGTGATGTGACTCAGTATTTTATTTGGCGTGGACAAAAGCATTAATCCGCGCCAGCTCTTCCAGAGTGAGACGTAAGTCGCCCTCCATCGGTAGTTTGACGAGATGGCCAGCTTTTCTTCCAAACAACAAACACCATTCCTTCCAAACCTTTTGCAATAATGTGTCAGCGTATCTACCACTGTCTCTGCGTCCGTTTTCAGTATTTCGGGGGAATTCCACTCGAACTTCAGCAGCTTGATCGTATTCAAGATTTCTCCCTTCGTTGGAAGATTGGTGCCCACTGTCACTTCCGTGTGTGCTTCTGGCAGTATTTGTGAATGAATCACAGATGGTGGTCAATTCAAGAGTCCTTTAAAGTGATCAGTCCATTGTTGTTCTTCCTCCATGGTACTCAGGTTCCCTTGAGCATTTTCTATTGGTTCCATTATCTGGGTTGATCCCTTCCCTGATAGACACCTGGTTATCTCATATCATATCCTGATGTCTCTTTTACCTGTGACCTGCCTGTTCTGCTCCAGTTGCCAGTCAGTGTGTTGTAGAATTGTCTTTTGTCTTTCCTTGCACTCTTCTTCACTTCTTTATTCTGTGCAGTGTACAATGAACTCAGCTTCTCCTTCTCTTGTCCATCTTTGCATTGAGTCGTCTTCTCTTCTACCATCCTTATCTTCTCGATTAGCTTCCAGGTATCTGCTGACAGCCATTCTTTGTCTTGTCTCTTCCTCCTTCCTATAACAGTTGTACACGTTCCCTTAAATATCACCTTCAGAGAGTTAGTTCCAATGTTCTTCCACACACACACACACACACACAAGTTCCCTCAATAATGCCACGTAGTGTCACCAACTTTCTTCTGATCAGATCTCCAGTGAAAGTATCCCTTGTAATTTTCTCCTTCAGTTTCTGAGTGTTGAACTTGATTTGTGGTCTGTCTCGAGTTGTTCTGAAGGCTTTCGGCTTCCCCTTCAAGGTTCTTCTAACTAGATGATGCTCTGAGCCCACATCTGTTCCCCTCCCCTACTCCGTGTCCAGTAGACTAGCTGCATCTCCACTTCCTTGAGCAGTGGAGCCACATCGAGATGAAGTCTATCTGATGTGTAGTGTGTCCGTCAGGCGAAATCTATATCACTGGTCTTGTGTATATCCTTGTGCTTGTACACGCTGCCTCCGATTACCAAATAATTGAAGGCGCAGAAATCTGAGAAGAGTTCTCCGTTATCATTCATTTCGCCTAGCTGGAGGTTCTTGACCCACGATGAGTTCTCTTCCTGTATTATCTGCTCCCAGTTCAGCTTGCATTCATATCGTCCATGAGGATTTTGATGTCGCTATTCGGGATGTTTTCCATTACCGTTTGTATTTGTCTGTAAAAATCTTCCTTCCTATCTTGTTTCGCGTTGTTTGAAACCGCGTGTGTAGCATTGGGTGACTGTAAACTTCCTTCCTTCCTTTTGAGTTGAATCTTGCTGTCGTGATCCTGGATAAAATCGGTCCCAATGCATCAGGGCTCTGTCTGCCACTGGTAATATCATTACAGCCACTCTCTCAGTGTGTTCGTAGTTGTCGTCAGGATGACCGGAGCAGACTGCTGACTCTTCAGTTAATAGTTTGGACAAGCCACACCCATTCCATCTGCTCTCAAAGATTCCCAGCACCTTTATACCGTATCTTCTCATTTCTCTGACTGACTTCCCGAAGGCCTTTGCCAGCCTGTGTCATTTCGCCTTTCTTCAATTCCTTCGAAGAATAAGTGTGTTTCTTTATATTTTTTTGTATTTTTAACAGTTTTCTTGTGCGTTGAAGTTTCCTTAGCAGACTGATTAGTTTTGTGGAGTAAGGCGGCTAGACACACCCCTGACTCTCCCTCTTCACCCAGGCTTGATACCAGCTAGAAAACTAGCGAGCTAGTAAACTAGACGAGGTTACCAAGTACAGTGATGGGCCAGAAATACTAAAGAAGTGGTTAAGGCATCAGAAAACCTTTTTAAACTCCTTAAACAAACTGACTGTGAAAAATCAATGGAAACTGAAACGATTTCTGGGAAGGACTGTATTACTGATACAAGGATAAAACTTGGGAACTATGAGGGACTGTCCTTTGATCGTCTTTCAGGATAAACGACTGAAAATTTGAAGATAAATTTGCCTGGCCTCCAGCCACCTCAGTCCCCCATTATCATACTCCTACCCTAATGGGTTGCGTACATCAGTTCTTCAATTGTAGCCGAGATTGTGAAGGCTCTCTATAATCTGAAACGAGGCAAAGCAGTGGAACCTGATGGAATGATTCCAGAGGTGTTTTAGAACGGTGGTGATGAACTGATACTTAAGTTAACCAAGATATTTTGGTTATATGGAAAAGTCGCCGTTGCTTTCATCGGATTATTGCAAATCGTTGGTTATCCCGGTTTATTTGAGAAGAGAGAAGTCGGCTTGAATAGCATAGGTTCCGAAATTCTCGGTAGACAGAGGAGTGTTCTGGAGAAACAAACCCGGTGACCATAAGACCTGAACGAGGATGTATTGATCATGTAATTACCTTTGACAGATTATGAAGCTTAGGGATACTTGCCGAAGTTCAACACGTCATATTTCTTAAATGAAGGCGCCATTTGACTCTATCAACCTACAGGTACCAGGTCAATAATGTGGCAGTGGAGGGAGTGAGGAGAAAGCATATTACACTAATCAAATCACTCGAAATTATGTAGCCGCGTAGGAGCTTACGGTGAGGGTCATCTGAGATGATGACAACAGTTAGAGATACCCATTGTCACCATTTTTGTCAGGCTTTATCACAGACTTATCAACAGAATTTATCGTAATCGACATTAAATAACTACTGAGTGACTTCATGCCAAGGAATTGTTTTTGCATTAGGGGTATGCGGATGATACTGTCTTCCTAGATCAAGAAGATGACAAAACTCAAAGTCTTCAGAATTAACTTAAACAGAAACCGTGGAATGTTCGGCGTGCGACTGTCTCCTGCCAAAGGTAAGACTATGCTGCGAGACCGACTCCTGGCTTAGAGATGGGGAGTGAAGTGGTTGAAGCTATTGGCCACTTCATTTATTTAGGAAGTTGCGTTAGTTTTCCATCCTGTCGCCTTCCTAGTTAGGAGCATGCAAATAAAACATGAGATCAAATCGTGAGACCTTTGACCGTTGATTTGAGCCACGTAGGGAGTTGTTGTGGTCATTGAAACACTAGCAACAAATAGCTAGAGAATGTTAGTCAAATAACTGAAATCCTTTTTCTACCTTTGTATACTAAGTGGAGCGTGCAAACTTAAGCTGCTAAACTTCTGTGCAAAAAACTAAGTTGATACTCAGTAACCATCTTCCGTCCAAGGCACTTTGTTGTCCCTTCTGGTTTGGTATTTTGCCTAGGATAAACAGCAGCATGATTCAACTAGACATGGTAGCCTTTCTTCGAAATATCAAACATCTTCCAGACGGTATGTAGCAGTAGACTTAGGATGTCCCCTGATGTTTCCAGGTCAATTCACAGTGCATTTAGGAGGATCCTAACTGACCCTGCTTCCTTCTTGTCTTTCAGTAATCTTATAGCTTTCAAGACTTCTGCTTTTTTGGGGTGATGGTGCTTAGTGGGAGTTCACATTTGGTATCTCTGGACATGGTGTGGGTAATGGTCCATCTCAGAGTTTGTTAAAGTGGTTTGATAAGCGTTTCTTTTTCCCACCTCTTGGTTGTTGGGTTTACTTTCAGTATTTATCACTGGCTTCATGTCCGTTGATCACCACTCGTAAAGGCGATATGATTATGTGATACAGCGTCGCAAGGTCACTTTTACCCTCAACCTGCTCTGCTTCAAGTGTCAGTGTGCCGTAAATGTATCTTCGCCCCCCTCCTACCAGTCCTCTTCACTCCTTAGTTCATTGTGTCGTAGATTATACTCAGCCTCTTTCTTTACTGTCATTTTCAGAACTTCTTCATATTCCTCCCATTTTCCATTCTTCCAGCTATCACTAGTCTTGCTTTTTCGTTTTATCTAGGGTTAACATACAAATTTTCTTCTAAGCTACTTTCAGAGAGCTCCAGTATTCTTCCACGCATGTTTCATCGGTGATTTTGCCCTAATCTCTCCGACGTTTTCCTGATGACCGCTGCGAAGGTGTCCTTTGTAACTACTACCTTCAATTTCTGATTACTGAACTTGAAATATCGTCTATCTCCAGATACTTTAACTTGAAGATCTCATGAACTAGATGCTGACCTGAGCCAACATCTGATAATCTTCTCGACCTTGTTTCCATTAACCTACATCCCCACTTATTCTATTCTTATTAAATATAATGACATTCTACCATTTCCGACACAAACTATTTGCGGACAGCAAATTCCACTGCACTCACGGTTCTACCGATATATTTAGCCTAAGTACATAAGACACATACATGTCGTAAGTACACCAGTAATAAGCAAATAAACTGAAGAAAATAGTTTTAATAATCCCATACGTGACTTTTGCAAGACGAAACGGTCTAACTAGTTACCATAATCCTGTGGTAAGGATACCTGTTATCATTTCCATAACGACCGTTTTTAAACTTGAGTAGATACTTTAATTTATTTACTGTTTACCGAAGCAAGATAGAATAATTTTTGGAATTATCGTCGAATAATTGCATGTGTGTAATCATGCTACTTTAGATCTAAAATATTCAAATCGTCAAATTATTCTAAGCTCTTCAGTTCACCTTTTTTTGATTTACAGCTTGATTCCACACTGTATTTTTGGTACAAGTATGGAATTTTCAGCATGGATATCGGTAGCCCAAATTTTGCAGGCCGACCATAGATATCAGGTGTGCGCCGGCGTGGGCTCGAACCCCAGATCATGTGCATGGTCGGTGAGAGTTCTAACCACTGTGCCACGACCTTAAGATATTTTTATGAGTTCCATGCCTAACATTTTTTATGATGTATCACCATAAGTCAAGTGAAGGTGATGCTCAGTAAATACTTCATTTGTTAATTTATTGTTCCTGAATTAGTTTTCATCCTGAGCTGCAACTAGTCCATTAATTAATAATTTAAAACCCATTATTGATTGGTGACTGTAATTGAAAGTTGTGGCACACACAGTCAATGAAGTCTAACGCACAAACAGTTAATCACCCATCACATGGATAATAATCCTACTATATGGAGAGTTAAGGGAAATTCGAAAGCATGAACCAGTGGATCCCAGCTCACCAGCTGGATGATGATGAACCTTAATGTGAAATCTGTCACTCCTTGATTGGATTCAGCATGGGGTTGTGATACACACTATCGATAAATCCCAGAGTATGACGACAACTTTCGTGTGCTCACTGGAATTCAGTAATTCTGTAGAGGGACGATCGAAGATACAGGTTTGACTGATGTGCTATCAAAAGCAGGATTCATCATTACTTCGCTAAGTAATATTCTGACTGTATATATAGATGTAACCAGTCACTCTTGCACTCACTTATAACTATAATCACTAACCTGTAGACGAAGAGCTTCTATGGTAGCTTCCATATGTGTGCGTGTTTCTATGGGCAGTGAATTCCCCAGCTGTGCTATGCGTTCTTCATGCCAACGAGTTTTCATGTCATTCCACGCTTTTTCTTGTTGTCTCAGTGAAGCTTCAGCTAAACGTGCTCGTGTACGTTCTTTTGATATAGTCTCCTTCAACACCTATATGAGAATATGATGCATCAACAAATTCTTTAAATGTATGTCAAAAATCTAAGTGCTGAACTTCAGTTTCTAGTGTTAAAAGTCATCTTCACTGTTAGTGATGATGATAACTATGCATAGTGTATTTTAAGGAATAATACCAACGAGGAAATCTGTTTCACAAGCCTCTGTGCTTAAAGGAGACTGATTAATCCGTTTCAGTAAAAATAAAAACGGACAATTAAAAATATCAAATCGGTTTTTCGACGTTTTATAGCATTTAATATAGTGCGTATCGACATTTGCAGCTGTAAAAGCCATTAATTTAGCTATTTCACAAATAAACTAATCTACCTGTTTACTTATCAATTAGGTTTGCTGTTTTAAACCTTCAGTTTTCTAAATCTAAACAGTTAATTGCATCCCATGAGTTAAATCTACTTAATATACAAAGTTTAGTATACAGTTTCTCCACTAAACACAATTTTACTCAAGGGTTTTAAAATAATAAGTCATTAGATATGATAGAGAAGATTTGTAGCTCAGGTGGATGATTTTGATGTGGTTGTGTTCTCTGAGCTGGATGGTTGATTTGCGAAGCTTTCATCACCCTGCTCGGTGACATCTTCAGCGCATACTTCAGTTTGAAGTATGACTTCAAACTGATGATGAAAGCTTCGCAAATCAACCATCCAGCTCAGAGAACACAACCACGTCAAAATAATAAGTCATTATCAAAGACATAAAACCTGGACTGTGCACCGGGCTGATAGAATTTAATCAGCTCCAACACCAAGGACTAGATGCATAACACTGGTTAGTACCTCCAGATGAAACCATTTATCCACAACAGTCCTAAATGAGGTCATTTATGAGCCTGAATACATCAGTGACAGCGTTACAGCCTGGGTGACGCGAATTCTAATTTCCGAAGGGATTTCAATTCCTTCGGGCTACAGGTATTCCAACGAGAATATCATGAACTAGGAGAACAATACTATCTGTGTTCACTGGATGCACAGATGTAGATGACATCAAAAAACAAGTTCAATTTAATAGACTGACACACTAAGTGGTCTGGCTTAATATGTATTGAGTAACTGCTCCAATGTTTTTGACCTACAAAACTAAGGAATAAATCTCAACAATTATCCCAGTAGTCCGCCTATGAGTTTCTACGAACGCCTGTCTAGTCATTAAAAGTTGTCAAGGCCACATCTTTTTATAACCTCACTTAGTTTATTAGCAAGTCCTAAGGAAGGAAAAAAAGAGGTTGGGTGTGGGGGGAACAACTGGACACAGTAAAAAAATACCTTGATTGTTGCGTTGACTTCCGAAAAAATCAATTCGTCGCCGGAATAGAAAAGACTCATCGACTAGATGACAGAGGATGGGAGCCATAGAGAAGCCGGTTAGCTGACGTGCACTCATTGGAACATGGATTGTTCAAACCAAGTTTGAGACTGGTAAGCCTGTCCACGTGTCTGACACTCAGTCTTCTTTTCTTGAACTCCTTGTATCAATCATTGCTACAGACTGACGTGTAACCTCTTTTCTTTAACTAATTTCTTTGTAGTGTACATTGTACCTCATCTTAAAACGAACACGTATGGTCCTTCCTACTTTGGTCAGCCTCCACCGGTATATTTCCGTTCTCTACACTTCACCTGGTCACCAAATCCAAAAAGCTCCCGTTGCTCACTTTGCTCCTGTCTAGCGTTATCAGTGCCTAAAGTTTTTTCGCTAATTTTTCCATCTAGTTATTATACAGAGTTGTTGCTATGCTCATGAAGTAGTAATTTTCTCCCACACATAAGCATTAATGACCATTTCTTTGTTGCTCTTAGTAATGAGGCTTGATGCGCTAGAAGTATCGACGGGAGCAGGTTAGTCGCCTAATTCCCTCCTCTTGCTGCAAGCCCTTCATTAGTTGTACAACTATCTCTTTCTATCAAATTATTAGTTCAGGGAGTGATACAGTGTCATTCTCATCCTCCTGATAGTCAGTGTCCCAAATGACTCTTGAAATCTTCGCTGTGAAAACATTTCCTGACCTACTAATACAGTCTTTGGCACTCCTTGGTTCACAACAATATCTCCAATTACTGTCTCACTGACTATTTCAGCGCACTGGCCCAAAATCACTACCACGTCTATCCAACGTGTGTTGTGTCCTGTCATCATTAAGGAATACTAATTGCTATCATATTTTTTAGGGAAGGGATGCATTATGTCTACTGACCCTAAACCACAGATTAATAATACTGGAAATGCCTGCATTTGATTCCGAATGCATCAGCTACCCTTCATTATTTGGCATTGTGAGCAGGCAAGCACATACTTTGTAATATCATCTCCCCTGCTTGGCCAGTACTCACTAGGATTGATAAGATTGTTTGTTCTTAAAATACGATCAGAGTTCTGGTGAAGAACAAGTTACTGCATATGCTACTTAAGATAATTCACCCTCATTAGTGGATCTCAATAATTAATCAGCAATAGTTTTTTCTCCCTTGGAATAGGGCTGATGGTGAAGTTGTACTCTTATGAATATAACATCCATCTTGATAACTTTCCTCAAGGGCCTTTTGCTGTTTTCAACGAATACACAACTTTATGGTTGGTCACCACCTCGACTAGTTCACTAGGTCACTTCTCGATTCTAGGGGTAGAAAAGAACCTTTTTCCTAACGTCGAGGGAAGGTTAGGAATGGGGCAAGCAGACCGAACTCGGCAAATGAATACAATCGCTACAGAAAATTCAGTGTACACAAAGAATATAAAAAATGAACCAAATCTTCATTGGAATCAAAGTGACCCATCAACTCAAAGATTAATGACACCAGATGGTAAAGGCCTTCAGAAGTTCAATCAACCGATAAGACTTTTTTTGACGGAATCAAAAATAAGCATAGAAACATGGAATGTCTGAGCCGTGTGTTGAGCCTGACAAAACTATTCATAATGTAGGGAAAATAAGGAGATATTAAAGTGTTAGAAATCAGTGGGAGCAGATGGAATGAAAATGTACTCTTCATATCGTTCACTGAAGAGTCAGTAATCTACTCCTATCACCTGGATGACGGCCACGAACACACTGAGGGAGTGGCGATCGTGATATCACCACCAGCATCAAAAGCTCTCATACAGTGAGGATTATTCTCTTCCAGAATCATGACAGAAGCATTCAACTCGAAAAGGAGGAAATTTAGAATTACGGAATTCTATGAGCATACAAAAAATGTAAGCCATGACAAGAGGAGGAACACTTGTATGAAGGACTACGAGCAGTAATAGACAAGACCCAGGTGTTGACATCAACATTTTAGTGGCCGATATAAATGCTAAACTGGGAGCAGACACCATAGGAAGAGAACTTTTCATGTGTTAGGAGACTTAATACTGATAAAACCAATGGAAGATAGTGAAGGGTGCAATTTACCCAGGAAGCGAAACAAAAAACTCTGGGTTGATCAGTTCGAAAGACTCCTGAAATGGCATTTCTCTATAACGCTTCCAACCTCGCTAGTTTTCTAGCCGGTCCCAAGACCGGATAAAGAGGGAGGGTTTGGGCGTGGTGGTAGCAACTCCACCCCCAAAACTCAACCAAACTGCTACCGAAACTTCAACGCATAAATATATTCAGAAAAAAAATATTTATAGCGAACAATTGTTTTAAATAAATTCGTCTTCAAGCTCTACAATTTATCTACAAATTTATTGAAAACAATTGTTCGCTCTAAATATTTTGTTCTGAATAAATTATGGGCATAAATATATATAAAAAATACTAAAAGTTTAAACATTATATTTCGCTAGAATCGGGGAAGTGAAATGACGCAGGCTGGTGAAAACTAGCCTTCGGGAAGCCAGTTAGTCCATGTGCCTTTTTTCGATAAGAGCAAAAATAAGCATGGGACGTGGAATGTTCGTACAATGTACGAAACTGGAAAGGCTTCCTAGATAGCTGATGAAATGAGATGGTATAGAATAGGAGTGTTGGGAATCTGCGAAAGCAGATGGAACGGATGTGGAAGGTGCCAACTATCAACTGGAGAGACAATAATCTATTCCGGTTACCCAGAGAACAATCACGAGCACAACAAGGGAGTGGCCATCATGATATCACCAACAGCAGCCAAAGCTCTCATGCAGTGGGAACCAATCTCCTCCAGGATAATGACAGCCAGGTTCAACTCAAAAGAGGAAGGAAAGTTACAGTCATTCAATGTCAATGCTATGCGCCTACAAACGTCTCAGAACAAGAGAAGAAGGAGGCTTTCTACAGAAAACTACAACAAATAATGGACAAAGTCTCAAATGGCGATATCAAAATCCTGATGGGTGATATGAATGCGAAGCTAGGAGGAGACAACACAGGAAGAGAACTCACCATGGGTCGTGAGGCCCTCGGCGAAATGAACGACAATGGTGAACTCTTCTCAGACTTCTGCGCCTTCAATGATTTGGTGATTCGTGGCAGTGTGTTCAAACACAAGGCGACATGGATTTCACCAGATGGACACACCAAAAACCAAATGGACTTCATCTCGATTTCAAGAAAGTGGAGACGGAGACTACTGGACACAAGGTCGAGGAGAGGAGCAGATGTGGGTTCAGACCACTATCTAGTACAAGGGACTTTCAAGGTGAAACTAAAAGCCTCGAGGATAGCTGGGGATAGGCTACAATGCAAGTTCAACACTCAGAAACTGAAGGACACAACCACAAAGGACACTTTCACTGCAACTGTCAGAGCAAAGCAGGAAACACTACGTGACATCACTGAAGAATCATGCGTGGAAGAACATTGGAAGTCTCTGAAGGCGATTTTCAACGAAACGTGTTCAACGGTTCTAGGAAGAAAGAAGAGACAAGACAAGGAATGGCTCTCAATGGACACTTGGAAATTAATAGAAGAGAGGAGAATGGTGAAAGAGAAAATGATTCAATGCAAGGACGGACAGGAGAAGGAGACGCTGAGCTCAACTTACACATCACTGGACAAAGAAGTGAAG